CTGCAGGCTGGAGAATGGAAGCTCCTCTAAGACTGAAGTGTCGTCTTCCCTCTTGGTTTATTCCGTCTGTCTTCCTTGTACACCGATGCGCCATTGTTGAAGATATGCCACCTTTGTCTTCGGTGCAAATCAGAAATAAAACTGCTTTTTCCCTCCGCGGTTCATGTTAGTATTATTATGTTTAGCTGTTGTTTTACAGCCAGGAAATGTTTCACCTTTTGCAGCTGTAAGAGAAATCAGGACTGGATGGATCTTTTTGCACAGCACACACAAGGCTGGATAAAGTCACTGTGAAAAAGACACATGCATTATTTTGTTCGTTCTTAAGTTTTCCAGAAATGCTTGGAGATTTGGAGATTGCTGCTCCCTATTCTCAGTCCTCTGGGAGTATGTATGTTTGTATATAGAGAGAGAGAGAGAGGGAGAAATCAAGAAAGCACTCCTCTCCCCCCATGGGGTGTGGTCACCCTGCAGTCCCTTCTCCTCCATCTCTCCCTTTCTTTGGGATTTTGGGCACATGAGCATATGCAACCCATGTGTTTTTCAAGTTGCTGGGTTCAGGACTTGAACGACATGGTTGGCCATGTAGAAACCAACCAGGCCATGGCTGACCTTGGAGTGTGCTGTTGATGGGTTACTAATCAATGCCTATAGGTGGAGCCTGACCGAATACTTATAGGTAAGACCCATTCACTCATTTCCCCCTTGCCCTTTAATTTCTGTGGAGATGAGTAAATAACTAGGCAGAGGGTAAGTTCACATTTCCATGATCCCATGTCTGTCTACGAGTGCTTTTTTTTTTTTTTGAGGGGTTTTTGCTATAGGGCGCATGCGCTCGCCAGACAGAGAGAGACAGAGAGACAGAAAGCGAACAATCACCCCCCCTCAGGGGGAATGACCATGCCGCAATCCCTTCTCCTCCAGTCTCCTCTCAGGATCTTGGGCACGCACACACACGTGCCCGGCGTGAGTTTTAAGCCACCGGGTCCGGGACGCGAACTGGGGTCGACTCCATGGGAGTCCAGCGACATAGCCATTATGCTAACTGCTGGTCCCTCTCTCCAAGTGCTTTTAGGCAAAGGAAGATAATGCATCTATCTCTAGGCACCAAGAACTAACGTAATTAATGATGAAAACCATCTGCAAGTTTAACGCTTTCCATAATTTGATGATGCTTCATTGCCCCAGTTCTTAAACACCGATTTGGGAAACAAATAATTTAAGATCATTTAAAATAATTGAATTCCTAAGTACTGAAGGTGTCTTGGTTGACTGAAAGTAACTCCCAGTGGAAAAATTGACTTGCTTCATTCATGAGAAGAGTGTGTGGAGCCTCCCGGCAGAAAGTGGACTCCGGCCATCTGGATAACAACTCTTACCCAGCCAACTGGAAACGGCTTGGCTTTCTTGGCTGGCTTACCTCTGCCAGTAGCCATGCCATTGACCTCTGGATCAGAAGAGAAGGTAAATTTAATTGCCCTCGGGACTCTGGATAAGTCTACAGTGTAATGTTATTCAGAACTGGAGAACCCCAGGGATAGAGAACGAATGTGGTCTCCAGAAGGGCATCTGTTCACTGCATCTGTATCCACAACCTCCTCAAGGCTGGGGAAAGTCTACGAGCCCAAACGGACCAGAACGCCTGGTTCTGAATTCACGTGGAGTCTCTCCTCTCAGGGGCTTGGAGAGAACCCTGACTTGGGAACTAGAAGTCAGATGGTGCTGAATGAAGGTCCTTTATAAAGAGAAATTCCAGCTCTTTACCTTTTCTTTTAGTGAAAACCAGAACGAAAAGGCATATTTTGTACTCTGTGCTAACCTACCTCTTCATAGTCTGACTATTATTATTATTATTATTATTATTATTATTATGCTGAACCCTTGGGCAGAATCCCGAGGATAGATGTGGCAGTCGATAGGTAAAACCTAGGCATTCCTCCAGAACGGTATCTCCACTTTTCTCAAAAATGTCCTAATAGGATCAGGCTCATGTGTTTGTACATTTCCCACGTTTGTGTGAATAGTTTCCTTTTGCTCCTCCAGCCCATGGGTGTGGTTTCATCAAAGAATGCCAGGATCTGACTAGGAGTTACTGACCAGGTACCTAATCAGGACCTGTGCTTGAGGTTGCCTTTCGAGAGAGCCCAGAGATCACAACCAGCAACAATCTCCTTGGCATTCCACTGGACTAAAGCATTCTTGGGCTAAGTGGCTTCTGTCTCTAGCGGTGTGCCCTGTGCAGTGGAGAGTGGCAGGGAGGCAAGCCTAACAATGGTGAAGAGAGAATGTAGCTAAAGACGAAACAGAAAAGGATAAACTAAGAAGTGCAGCTACAAAAATACATGATCCACAGTCCCATGGACTTAGAGGTCATTGAGAAAGGTCATTTGTTTTTTAATTGCCAAAGGGCACCTGCGCTTGCTTGATTTTATAACCCAGAGAACAAAATCCTTTCTTTTTTTTTTTTGGAGAGGTTTTTGCTATAGGGCGCGTGCGCTTGTCAGACAGACAGAGAGAGACAGAGAGACAGAAAGCGAGAAATCACCCCCCCTGGGGGATGGTCACACAGCAATCCCTTCTCCTCCATTCTCCTCTCGGGATCTTGGGCACACACGCACACGCGCCTGGCGTGAGTTTTAAGCCACCAGGTCCAGGACGCGAACCGCAGTCGACTATGTGGGAGTCCAGCGACATAGCCATTACGCTAACTGCTGGTTCCCCCACAAAATCCTGAACACTCTAGCACTGGGTGGGAAAATATGATCAAATACTGGAGCCAGATGGGAAGGCCTGGGGTTCCTGTCACTGAGCTCACCGATGATCCTGGCTGTCTAGTCGGCTGCGGAGGTAGGAGTGATGGTATCATGGCAAGACCTATTGAAGCTCTATTGCCCTCTCTCTCATTAAAGAAATTAATAAATAAACTTTAAAAAATTGTGAGAGAGTAAAAGAAAGTCTCAAGGCTCATTTATTATACCGAGATAGTAGCTCACATGGTAGGGTCATAGTGTCCATCCTTCAGAGCTGACCAGATCTGAGGGGTCCTCATTGTCTAGTTGGGGCTAGCTCCCCTGTTTCCTGAAGTTCTTTAAGTTGTGAGTTTTAAAAGCAGAAGACATAAAAATGGAGATTCCCAGATTCCCATTGCCATGTGTTACCCAGTCCTCTCCTTTTAACTTTGAGGTTGTCATCTCCCATAATACATATATATATATATATATTTAGAGGGAATTTTGCTATAGGGTATGTGTGCTTACTGGAGACAAGAGAGAGCAGACAGTGAGAAAGTGAGAAATCACCTCCCTGGGGGCGGGGATGATCATGCTGCCATCGCTTCTCCTCCATTCTCCTCTCAGGATTCTGGGCACCCATGCACATGTACCCGGTGTGGGTTTCAAGCTATAGGATCTGGGACTTGAACCAAGATTGGTCATGTGGGAGTCCAGTGTCATAACCACTATGCCATCTGCTGGTTCCTTCCATAACAAACTAAAAGTCAGACCCTGTTTTTTGTCAATGGAAGGCCTTCTGTGAAAA